AGATGTTTTAAAAGTGGTTTATTTACTACTTGAACTTAAAAAAAAGTGAAATCTGTCAAGACATTTAGAGGCACTCTGTTTTCCAGAGGTAAGGCCCGGCAAGCAGGCTGTGCCCTGAGCTTGGCACAACAACAATCTTTTGCACTCACGGTCTGGATGATCTCGCCCTCTGGCAAAATGCATTGCTTTGATCAGCACCAGGTGTTCTCTGAGGGATTTATGATTTTCATATTAATTGATAACTATTTAGATTTGTTGGAGTTTCCCTATTTCCCAAGGACCTGAGAGCCAGAAGCAGCTAACGTGCTAGAGCAGAAAGCAGTCAATCCCATCTCTTGACACTCTGGCCAGTCCCTGCACTTGTAATTGCTAAGCGAACTGAACCAGATGCTGCACTCCTGTTCCTGCCGTGCTAACTCTGATTCCGTACCCTGCAAAATAATCACAAGCTTCAAAGACCCTGAGGAGCTTAGAGACTATTCCCACAGGACCCAAGAACTCTTGTGATGGTCCAAAGATGCCTGCACATGAGGGATTGCCGGGGGAATTGTTTACTCAAGACCTAAGAATGATTGTGTTGGGTCCTGCCTTTTTGTGGGTTTCATGCTTAAAAACCCTACCCCTGCCACAAATCACAAGCTCTCCTTCTCAGGAGGTCTTTGGTTTGCAAACCTGTTTTCCTCACTCTGAAATTAAACTTTTGTTTGACTCCTGACTCTCCCGGCTCTGGCCTGCTTTGTTTGGCTCCAGCCACCCACTGAGCAGAGACCTGCTCCTGGGCCTTTGACAAACCTTTGCTTCCTCGGACATTTCAGATTCTACTTGCCACAGGAGGAAACAGAGAAGGGCAAAAACAGTCTTTGAAGTCAAGGAACTCAAAGTTTAATAAGAGAGACGAGTAAATGTCCATGTTGTATAGATACGTTTGTATCTATACATGTGGGTATATATATGTACACATACACACATATTTATACACACATGCACATATATACACACAGAGTGTGTATGTTAAACCTTAAAACTACACTAAGACTTTTGAGATACCCTAATATATATATAAATATATATATGTGTATATATATATATATATATCTGAGTGTGTGTGTGTGTATGTGTATGTGTGGGTAAACACACACATATGTGGGTAATGGAGGATGAGGAGGCAGGATGAAGGGGAAGGAGGGAGGAGTGAAGGAGAGAGGGAGAAAGGAAAAGGAGAGAAAGGGAGGGAAGGAGGGAGAGGGAAAGAATAGGGGAGACAGCAAATGGAATGTAATCTTAGAGAAATGACACTAATGAGGGGGTGAGGAAAGCCTGATAGCTAACATTGATATGGCATTTTGTTGGACCGTGAGGCAGAGCAGTGGATAGAGCACCAGGCCTGGAGTCAGGAAAATCGGAATTCCAATCTGCCCTCAGAAACTTCCTAGCTGTGTGATCATGGGTAAGTCACTTAAACCTGTGTTCGCCTCAGTTTCCTCATGTGTAAAATGGGGATAATAGTGCCACCTACCTTCCAGAGTTGATGTAAGGTTCAAATGAGATATTTGTAAAGAGCTTAGCACATAGTAAACACTATATAAATCTTAGTCGTTGCTATGGTTTGCCAAGACTTTTTGATACAGCAGCTCATTTAATCTTTACAGCCAGCCTGTGAGTTAGGTGTTGTTACCATATCTGGTTTTTACAAATGAGAAAATTCGCTAACCAAGGTAATGAGGTTCTCCATAGCCACAAAGGTATTGAGTGTCCAGGCAAATGGAGAAAGATATGTTCTGAGAGTTAAAATATTATACAGAAGTTACAACCAGGCCTAATCTAAGGTGTTAGTAATTGGGACAACTGTACCAGAAAAGAAGGAACCAATACAAGAAGGAAAGGATTTAGTTACTAGTTGTATATGGGATAAGGGTTAGGGAATAGGAAGGGAAGCTTTTGATTTGTAGAATTGTATCTTTACCTGTTTTCTTTGTATGGTAGAATTTGCCATTGGAGTATGAAGGGGTGATAATCTTCAATTATCTCTGAAATTAGCCACATTTCTGACTCCTCATCCATTACAAATATGTGTGGGTGGGCTTGGAGTAGGCAAAGATTTACAGGAAGGTCCTTTCTCCTTGAAAATACCTCCCCCATACATTTCAATAATAAAAAATTCCTTTAGATTAAATTTCTCCTTTAAAATACAAACACCTCTTCTGCAGTTTTGGTTTATTTTATTTGTTGGTTTTTAGAAATGGGGTAGGGAATTTCCTGTGTGGAAATTCCATTTACTTTGTAGAGTGGGCAGTATGGCTATGAGAGCATCCATGGCGCCCTGAAGACCATCTATCAAACAGAAGGGCACAAGGGCTTGTTCAGGGGATTGACGGCCACGCTTCTCCGAGATGCGCCCTTTTCGGGGATCTACCTGATGTTTTACAACCAGACCAAGAAGGTTGTGATGGAAGGTAAGCCTGCAGGCGACTTCCGTATCCCACTGGATCTTGGCCACTTTTGTTTAGCACTGCTTCAGGTGCCCCATTCTCACTGTCACCTGGAGAGCCCCTTTGGGTGGTGAGGGGAGGCTGTGGGGCCTGGGTTGGCCTTTTTTTATGTTC